AGATATTAATAAATTATATTTATTTTTATATTTTCGTTTTTTTTGGCCTAAAAATTCTCTAATATATATTTAATATATAAATATATATTAGTATATAAGTATTTCAAAATTATGTCAAAAACGATGGGTTATTATCCCTGCTATATGATAGAAAGGTCTTCACTGTTTTATTCACCTACAGTAAAGGCGCTCCCTTGTGTACCGCTTGCAGAGTAAATAAAACTCGAAAAAAAAATCTTTTTCTATGTTGTTTATTAATTTCACTTTTGTTAAAAATATGTGTACTTATTCTTCTTGGGCTCGGTGTGTTAAGAGCAGTACGACTAGGATGCGTAGCGGAGTGCTTCTCGGCACAGTTTCGAGTGTTCTGCCAATCCCCAATTGCTGTATATATTTACATATATATATGTAAATCTTTATTAAAAAATTAATATTTTAAAAATTCAAATAGCATTTCCTTACTTTACATCCCGGCAGGAGAGGAAGAATAAATATATGTTTACATATATAATATATATAGATATATATACACAGCGCTTTTCAAAATTTCTGTAAATAAAATGAATATCGATATATCGGGTGTATTTTGGGTAATTTTCAATTTAACGTTTTAAAGTGCTACTCTGACGAAAATCGCTCAAAATTGGATTCAGCTGAAACTTCCTAAGAATACTCTTTATAGGTCCAATAATCACTGTATGAAGTGTTTTCAAAATATATGTAGTAATGTTTGATGTTGAGTCAATGACGTCACAGACTCTAAAAAATAATCGTAAAAATATCATACTTTCGTCCTGAATATCGAGAAAACACCCACGTACAGTGGAGTATTGGACCTTAGGGACCGGTCATTATTTAACGGGGGGGGGTTCATCTGGGATACCGTTTGCCTTTGCTATAGCAGATGACGCCAGTACAATCTCACCATATTGCTCCAGTCCATGTGCCGCAATGTGGATAACAGCCACCCCTTCTCTTAACTTCTCTTTGACTGCGTCTTTCGTTGCGTCAGATCCTAGTAATGCCTTTACATTTAATAGTTCGCCAATTTTCTTTGCTTCATCCTCTGCTTGCTTCAAGGGGTCAGTCCATTGCTTAGTTATCTTTCCTTTATGCCTAACATTTCCAACATCGGGATTACCAATAACTAATGCTCCTGTCGCGCAATGATTGGATTTTGGGCACTCTTGTAAGATTTTCAGTGTTGTTAATGATGGCGCCAACCGAATCCGGAAGGTTTCTGAAAGATATTTTCCTGATTGGTCTATTAGAGCAGCATAGGGTACTCTATTCAGAGGCCCATCAGGAATAACCACAATCTCTTCAAGATTATGATGTAATCTCTGGTTTAGTGTTGGGGCCACTAGTCGATCAAATAATGTTTTGAGAACCTTTTCTCGTGATTTTGCAGATTTTTTTTTTGCGTTCCTTTGCGCTTGTCTCGTTACTACCAAATCAGTCGTTCTTTCCATGTTGCCTTCACCTTGCGGATTATTGTGGTCCAGTTCAGTGGAGTCGTCAATGGCAGCACCTTCCTTTTCTTCGGGTAGTATTTGATTATAAGCTGATTTTACGATTTCATGAAAGGTCTGCTCCATTTGTCCTTCTTTAGTGGAATCATTCTCTAAAGAGCAAATGGGTTGCTGTTGGTTTGACAGCACACTCATAGTTATGTGGATGTCCTGGGTCAATGCATGAAACAGCACGAAAAAGTTTCCTTTCTTCAAGAGATTCACAATACTGGAGTATCTTAGTGAATAACTTATAGCAGCATTTTGATTACTTAAACCGTACTTGGAAATAAAACGATCCCTCAATGCACGTGCTCGCCCACTGTCACAGACAGAAAGAGCCTTTTTTGTCTGTCTTGTCTTAATAAGCGATACCGTTAGCTGTTTGTAGGATTCGATGAAGGTGTCTACTATGGATATCTTAAAATGGTCCCGATCCTTCAAATTATGGATTTGATGCTCCGAAAGCTTTACRCTCTTTTTAAGGAATTCTATCGACTTTTCCATGCTTTTGTGATACTCTACTTGTTCAGCATCTCCCCTGTAGAAACATGCAACTTCTCTGTAAACTACGTCTATAACAGCGTAGGTTTCCATCAAATTTATGTCATCGTTCTTGTTGAATTTTGTCTTTTCAAATCTTTTAAGACATTCTTTGGCCGAACGGTGATAATTAGCTTTTTCAGCTGAACTGTTACTACAACCGTCTTTGGCGGAACGGTGCTGACAAGCTAACAACGCCAAGCATGCATGTCCCCAGTTAGCATAAGCCCCAGCATAAGCATCTCCTTCAATAACACTTATTTTGTAGTTGTGAGCTTGCGATGCGCTATTTGCTTTTGGGGATATTTTAAAGTGGCTACAGTTAAATCCTTTTTCAAAATGAGAAATGCTATTTTCGTAATCCTCTAATTCATGATAAACTTTACCTAAGTTGATGTTTACTGTCATGGTCATCTTAGGGTTCTCTTGACCGTTTGCAAACTCCAGATACTTCCTGTAATACTGTCTTGCTTCAGTGTACTGTCCTAATGCATAATGAACATTCCCCAAGTTTGCATAAGCATTTACTCTGGCGTTAGTGCCGCTATCTTCATTGCTTTCTGCAGTTATTAGATTCTTCTCAAAATACGCTAATGCTTCTAAATAGTTCCCTGAGGACATATAGGTTTTTCCCAGGTTACATTCTGCGTATACTTGGGCCTTTTCATCGCTCATTTCTATAGCAATACCCAAGCTCTTTTCATGATGCTCTATGGCAAGTTCATACTCGTGTAATGATTGATAAGCGACTCCTAAGTTCGCATTCAATTTTCTTTCGCCTTCTCTATCATTCGCCGGAATTTTCACTTTCAAAGCTTGCTTATAATACTCAATTGCTTCTTTATATTTGTTGGTTATTTGACAAAGAAAGCCAAGTTTTCCATATATTATTCTCTTGTTTTCTTGATCACGTATCTTTGCATAAATCATAAGTGACTTTTTATAACATTGGAATGCATGATTGTAGTTTTTTAGCAGGCGGTTGTCATCTCCTAAGAGCATGTGTGCTTGTCCCTTGCCCTTCAAGTCCTTCAATTCTCCAGCCACATTAAGGGAAAGTTCATGATAACCAATGGCTTCGCGGTATTTACCCTGAGAATGATAAAAATTTCCTAGAACATTATAAGCATTTTGTTTATTCTTAAGATCACGAGATTGTTTCGCCTTTTCTAAGTACACATTGTAACACCTTTTAGCCTTATTGTAGTCTTTCAATAAAAAATACACATCTCCCAATGCTGCA